TTCAGGACTATAGCTCTATAATAGAGCTTGAAGTCAGGGATAGTGATGCCTCTGGAAGTTCCTTTATTGTACTGGGTTGTTTTGGCTATCCTGGTTCTTTTGTTTTTCCATATAAAGTTGAGCACTGTTCTTTTAAGGTCTGTGAAGAATTGTGCTGATATTTTGATGGGGATTGCATTGAATTTGTAGATTGCTTTTGGCAACATAACCGTTTTTACTGTGTTGATCCTACCTATCCAAGAGCAGGAGAAATCTTTCCATTTTCTGGCATCTTCTTTAATTTCTTTCTTTAAAGACTCGAAGTTTTTGCTATACAGGTCTTTCACTTGTTTGGTTAGCATTACCCCAAGATATTTTATGTTGTTTGTGGCTATTGTAAAGGGTGATGTTTCTCTGATTTCTTTCTCAGCCCATTTATCGTCTGTATATAGTAGGGCTACTGATTTTTTTTTTAGTTAATCTTGTATCCTGCCACTTTGCTGAAGGTGTTTATTAGCTGCAGGAGTTCCCTGGTAGAGTTTTGCAGGTCACTTATGTAAACTATCATATCATCTGAAAATAGTGAAAGTTAGACTTCTTCCTTTCCAATTTGTATCCCCTTGATCTCCTTTTGTTGTCTTATTGCTCTAGCTTGAACTTCAAGTACAATATTGAAGAGATATGGAGAGAGTGGACAGCCTTGTCTTGTTCCTGGTTTTAGAGGAATCACACTGAATCTCTCTCCATTTGGTTTGTTTGATGTTGGCTGTTTGTTTAACTGTATACTGCCTTTATTATGTTTAGGTATGTTCCTGTTATTCCTGATCTCTCCAAGACCTTTATCATGAAGGGGTGTTGGATTTTGTCAAAGGCTTTTTCAGCATCTAGTGAGATGATCATATGGTTTTTCTTTTTCAGTTTGTTTATATGGTGGATTACACTGATAGATTTTCATATGTTAAACCATTCCTGAATCCCTGGGATGAAGCCTACTTGATCATGGTGGTGATTTTTCTGACGTGTTCTTGGATTCGATTTGCCAGTATTTTATTGAGAATTTTTGCATCAATGTTCATGAGAGATATTGGTCTGTAGTTTTCTTTCTTAGTTGCGTCTTTGTGTGGCTTGGGTACCAAGGTAATTGTAGCCTCATAAAGAGAGTTTGGTAATGAACCTTCTGCTTCTATTGTGTAGAACAATTTGAGGAGTATTGGTATTAGCTCTTCTTTGAATTTCTGGTAGAATTCTGCACTGAAGCCATCTGGCCCTGGGCTTTCTTTGGTTGGGAGACTTTTGATGACTGCTTTTATTTCATTAGGGGTTACAAGTCTGTTTAAGTTGCGTATCTCTTCCTAATTCAATTTTGGTAAGTGATATCTGTCCATTTCCTTTAAATTTTTGAAGTTTGTGGAGTAAGGTTTTCGAAGTATGACCTAAAGAGTCTATAGATTTCCTCAGTGTTTGTTGTTATGTCCCCCTTTCATTTCTGATTTTGTTAATTTGCATGTTCTCTCTCTGCCTTTTGTTTAGTTTGTATAAAGGTTTGTCTATCTTGTTGACTTTCTCGAAAAACCAACTCTTTGTTACATTGATTCTTTATATTGTTTTCTTTTTCAGAGTTTATTGATTTCTGTCCTCAGTTTGATTATTTCTTGGTGTCTACTCCTCCATGGTGAGTTTGCTTCTATTTGTTCTAGAGCTTTCAGTTTGCTGTCAATTCTCTAGTGTGACTAGTCTTCAGTTTCTTCATGTGGGCACTTAGTGCTATGAACTTTCCTCTTAGCACTGATTTCAAAGTGTCCCATAAGTTTGCGTATGTTGTGTCTTCATTCTCATTGAATTCTTTTTTATTTCTTCCTTGACATGGAATGGTGCAATTGCTCATTGTTCAATTTCCATTAGTTTGTGGGGTTTCTGCAATTTGTGTTGTTGTTGAACTATAACTTTAAACCATGGTGATCTGATAGGATACAGGGGGTTATTCCAATATTTTTGTGTTTGTAGAGTTTGCTATGTTGCCAAATATGTGGTTGATTTTAGGGAATGTTCCATGTGGTGCTGAGAAGAAGGTATGTTCTGTTGTGTTTGGATGGAACTTCTATAGTTGTCTGTTAATCCCAATTGAGTCATAACTTCTGTTAGATCCTTTGTTTCTTTGTTAAGTTTCTGTCTGGTGGTCCTGTCTAGTGGTGAGAGTGGGGTGTTAAATGTGTGATTTGAGTTTTAGTAATATTTCCTTTAAAAATGTGTGTGCATTGATGTTCAGAACTGAGACTTCATCTTGATGAATATAAAATGACCTTCTTCATCTCTTTTGATTAAGTTAGTTTGAAGTCTAATTTGTTAGATAGTAGGATAGCTACACCAGCTTGCTTCTTAAAGCCATTTGATTGGAAAATCTTTTCCCAACCCTTGACTCTGAGGTAATGTCTGTCATTGAGGGTGAGGTGTGTTTCTTCTATGCAGCAGGAGAATGGATTCTGTCTTCCTATCCCTTCTGTTAGCCTGTCTTCTTATAGATGAGTTAAGACCATTTATATTGAGGAATATTAATGACCATTAATTGCTGATTCTTGTTTATTTTGGATTTGTTTTTGTTGGTGGTATTGTGTGTGAGTTTTTCCTCTATTTTTGGCTTTTGATAAAGTGAGATTTTGTATTGCCTATGTTTTTGTGAGTGTAGGTGACTTCCTTGCTTTGGAGTTTTCCTTCCAAAACTTTCTGTAGGGCAGGATTTGTGGATATGTATTGTGTAAATCTGGTTTTGTCATGGAATATCTTGTGTTCTCTATCTATAGTGATTGAGAGTTTGCTGGCTATAGTAGTCTGGGGCGGTTTCTTAGTGTTTGTAGAATATCTATCCAGGACCTTCTGGCTTTCAGGGTTTCCATGGAGAAGTTGGGTGCAATTCTGATAGGTTTGCCTTTATATGCTACTTGTCCTTTTCCCTTCACTGCTGTTAATATTCTTTCTTTATTATGTATGTTTGGTGTTCTGATTAATATGTGGCCAGGGAACTTTATTTTTTGGTCCAGTCTATTTGGTATTCAGTAAGCTTCTTGCACTTTCATAGGCATGTCCTTCTTCAGGTTGGGAAAGTTTTCTTCTATGATTTTGTTGAGTATGTTTTATGCACCTTTGAGCTGGGCTTCTTCGCCTTCTTCTGTCCCTATTATTCTTAGGTTTGGTCTTTTCATGGTGTTCCATATTTCCTGGATGTTTTGTGTTAAGGATCTGTTGGATTTAAGATTTTCTTTGGTTGATGAATCTATTTCCTCGAGTTTATCTTCAGCCCCTGAGATTCTCTCTTCCATCTCTTGTATTCTGTTGGTTATGCTTGCATCTGTAGTTCCTGATCTCTTACCCAGCTTTTCTATTTCCAGCATTCCCTCAGTTTGTGTTTTTTTTTTTATTATTTCTATTTCAGTTTTCAGGTCTTGAACTGTTTGAATTGTTTCCTCCATTTGTTTGATTGTTTATTCTTGGCTTTCTTTAAGAGATTTGTTGATTTCTTGCATTTTTTGTTTGTTTTTTCTTCCATTTCTTTACGGGATTTTCTCATATCCTCTTTGAGGGCCTCTGTCATTTCATGAAGTTGTTTTTAAGGTCATTCTCTTCTGTTTCATCTCTGTTGGGATGTTCAGGTCTTGGTGGTGTAGAGTCTCTAGACTCTGGTGGTGTCATGTAAGTCTTTCTGTTGTTGGAATTTTTCTTATACTGTCATTTCCCCATCTCTTCTTCCAGTGGCTATAAGTGGGGGGTCTCTCCCTCTCCTGGTGGGTATGGGTTCAAGGGTCTATCCTCTCCTCTTACCCGATGGTGTATGGGCAAGACAGGAATGGCGGCTGATGTTGGATGTTTTTTTCTGCCTTTAGGTCTTCCCCAACTCTTGCTCGCTCTACTTGAGGATGGAGGGGCAAACAGTAATGGCGGCGGCTGCTGGCTGCTTTGGACTGCCTCCAAGTCCCTCTGCAGGATTCGGTGGCAGGAAGTGTCTGATGGTGCCCCGACACTCACCGCTTGCTCTACCGGAGGGTGGAGGGGCAATGCAGTAATGGAGTCTCAGTTATTATGAGTACTGCCTGCTCTTGCAGAGGACCAGGGTTCCATTCCTAGCACCCACAAGACAGCACACCTTGGTCTGCAACTCTAGTTCCAAGGTCCCCAATGCCCTCTTTTGGTTTGCAAAGGCACTTCATGCATGTGCACAGACACAGTCAGAAAATCCATACACATAAAATAAAAATAAATCTTAAAAAAAACCAAAGTATTGAAATAAGATTGGGTGTGGTGGTACAGGCCAGTAATCCCTGAGCTCAGGATTGGCAAGATGACTCAGTGTGTAAAGGGTCTTGCTGTCAAACCTGATGACCTGGTTCATCCCTGGGACCCACATGATAGAAAGAAAGATAAAACTCCTACAAATTGTCTTCTGCTCTCTACATGACACACACTCCTGTCCAAACACACACACACACACACACACACACACACACACACACACACACACAGAGAGAGAGAGAGAGAGAGAGAGAGAGAGAGAGAGAGAATAAATAAATGTAATAAAAATGTAAATATAAGCGGGGGTGGGATGGGGGTGGCACATACCTTTGATCACAGCACTTGGGAGGTAGAGGCAAGCAGATCTCAATGAATTCGAGGCCAGCCTGGTCTACAGAGAGAGTGCTAGGATAGCCAGGACTGTTACATAGAGAAACACTGTCTTGGAAAAAAAATAGTAGAATAATATGTGTATTAGAAGTTCAATATATAATCAAAATATTTTTTACTTGAGAAATTTGTTATTTTATACCACCTCAAAAGCTAATTAATCAACTGGTTTTATGTCACATTATTAACAACATTTTAAAAAATCAATTGATGGGGCTGTAGAGATGGCTCAGCAGTTAAGAGTACTTGCTGCTCTTGCGTAGGCCTGGAGTGCCCAGGGACCCACATTAAGTGGGTTACAACAGCCTGTAACTATAACTCCATGGGATTTAATGCCATCTTCTGACCTCTAAAAAGACCTTCACCCATGTGTGCATGCATTCACATGGACACATAAGTGTAGATACACAGAGTCATAGATGTAAATAAAAATAATTTTTTATAAAATGAACCAAGTCACTGGCATGGTGTCACATACCTTTAATCCCAGTACTTGGATGCAGAGACAGCAGGTGGATCTCTGAGTTTGAGGCCAGCCTGGTCTACAGAGGGAGTTCCAGGAGAGCTAGGGTACACAGAGAAACCCTGTCTCAAGAAAAAACAAAAACAGAAAACCAGAAAGATCCCAGCATGGTAGCACCTGGTGGGTAGAAACAGGAGGGTCAGGATTCAGGACCAGCTGGGCTACATGTGAACTTGACTTAAAAACAAACAAACAAACAAACAAACAAACAAACAAAACCAGAAAGAAACAAGAGCAACAAAGAACTGAACACTACAGGTGCTGAGGGCATAGGAAAGGATTAGAGTATATGCTTACCATTAGAATCAAGGTCACGGATCTAACTAAGCAAAACAAAAACATACAAAATTACATATTTTTATGGAGGGGATAAAACCTACAACACAACAAGACAAGAATAAATAAATAAAGCCTGACAATAGAGGAAGAAAATTGTAAGCCCCAAATAAAGGTGCATATATTTAGAATCTTGTTATATGACAGAGGCTATGTGTTGTGAGGTATTTTATTACACTCTTACAGCAATGTTACAAGTTGTGCTTCTCCAAGCATGGTGAGATAGCTGCCTAGCTAAAAAGAAACTGAAAGCCTCCCATCTCACACATGCATATGTACACACACACACACACACACACACACACACACACACACACACACGTGCACACATGCATACAAGCACACACAAATCCTAAGAAAAACACAATTGAAAAAGATGGTAAGATACTATGAAGGGATGCTTTCGGTACTTTACAAGGAAAGGATATTTTGATGGGGGTGTTGTGGCAGCCAGCTCCCAAATAATGAAAGCTCGGCCTATAGCTTCGGCTTATTTCTAACTAGCTCTTAAATTAACACGCATTTTTAAATCTACATTCTACCACATGGCTTCTTACCTTTCTTTCATTCTGTACCTCTGACTTGCTCTGTGTCTGTCTCCTGGCATCTCCTTTGTGTGCCTAGATTCATTCCCAGTTCCTCTCTTTGCCTTGAAGTCCCACCTATTCTCCCTGACTTTTAGCTTTTTATCAAACCAATCACAGTGACACATCTTTACACAGTGTAATCAAATATCTTGCAACAGGGTGCGCCTTGGGGCTGGGTGGAGGAGACACCATTGTTGAGCTCTTTATCTAATTCTAAAGCACTTTCACCACCCTTTAGGGAGACTCCATACCCAGAAAGCTGTAATTACACCTCCTCCAGCTCCTAGCAACCACCCCTGCTCTCTTCCCCTAAGAATTACCTATTCTGAACATTTCATGGGAATGGCACCATTGCATGTCGACTTCTATGTCTATCTGTCTTCATTTACCACACTCTTTTTGAAGTTCATCCACATTGAAGCATGTGCTTATCTGTTTTCATGACTGAATAGTATCTCTTTGTATAGGTATGTCACAATTCATTTATCCATTCAGCCATCGATAGTGTTCCTGCTTTTTAGCTACTGTGACTAGTTCCAGTATGAGCCTTGCATATAAACAATTACTTGAGTAACTGTTTATTTTCTTTGTGATATATTACCTACAAGTAGAATTGTCAGACCATCTGGTAATCCTGTGTTTAGCTTTTTTAGAAACTGCTAAAGCATTTCTACTTTTCTGCAAGGAATATGCAAATGTACAATTCCTCCATATGCTCAGTAATGCTTAATTTTCAGTTTTGTGACCCATCAACTAATATCTTATTGTGTTTTTTCTATTCTTTTTCTTTCCTTCCTTCCTTCACTTTTCTTTCCTTCCTTCCTTTCTTTAGCATTTTTACTATGTAGCCCAGGTTGGTTTTGGACTCACTGTGTATCCCAGAAAAATCTAGAACTTTTGACCGTCTTGCCTCAGCCTCCACAGCAGCTGGGATGTTAGGGTTGTATAATCAGGGCCTCTTTGTTCTTGATCTTGGTTAACATTAAATGTACATTGTGATTTCAATTCTGCTATTGTATAGACTAGTAATGATAAAAATTAAATGAAAACCATTTTTTAAATTTTGAGACAGTCTGTGCAGCTCTAGCTGACCTCAAACTCGCTAGATATCTAAGGATTACCTTGAACTTGAGGAGTTCCTCTGCCTCCTGAGTTCTGAGATTATGGGTATGTGTCACCTCAAACAGTAATGATCCCCACTTTACATGTTTACATATCTTCTTACATCACTGGGGGGGGATGACATGTAGTGAAATATTGATAATAGTTACCTATAAATGTGGATGATAACAAGTGTTTTGTTTGTAGTCTCTAATGTTCCTATGAGGTAATATGTGAATCAGGGTTAAAAATATGTATTACTTTTATAATCATAAAACTGATTTTTCTTGTTCTTTTTATTAATGCAATTTGTTCTATGACATTTTATACACATATGAAATGCATTCTGGATACGCTGACCACCCCGTGACTGTCCTGAATTCTGTCTCCACATTCATGCCCTTCTGTTTTATCTTGTGACTCACTGAGTTTAACTAGTAGGTATGAGTGTGGAACTATCAGTCGGAGTTTGGTGGGTTCACCAGCATGACACAACTGGAGACAATGACTGTCCCTTCTAGGATCTTTCAGTAGCCAATAGTTTAACATGGATCCAATAACGCACCGTGAAACCCTTCCCCAGCCAGGATTGTGGACAAGGCCATTTTTTTTATCACTACATTAATGTGTGTGTGTGTGTGTGTGTGTGTGTGTGTGCTTGTGTGAATGTCAGAGGACAACTTTCAGGAGTTGGTGTTCTCCTTCTATCATGTGGGAGCCTACAATTAAACTTAGATCTCCAGTCTTGGTGGCAAGCACCTTTGCCCACCTAGCCATCTTGACAGACAGCTCAGCAGAGCCAGTCTTGTGCAGGTAACAACTGCTATGAGATGTTCAAAGTGGCCCTGTCATGATCAAAAAGTGGCATTTCCAGCTCTTACATTTCTTCTCCCTCTTCTTTAATGTTCTTTGAACTTACAGGAGGTGTTATAGCTGTTGGAAGCCTGTGGCCATTGAATGCTCAGCCCTAAATTTTGTTTTGTTTTGAAATACGGTCTCCTATAGTCCCATGGTCTCAACATCACTGTGTAGCTGAGAATGACCTTGAACTCCTGATTCTCCTGTCTCTACCTCTCCAGTGCTGTGTTTTCAGGCATGTATGACCACACTTGACTAAATCATGTTTATTGTGCATGAAGTAAACCTAGAAAAATGTTACCAATGGTTGTTTCTAAAGTTGAGATAAGAGGAAAAACTTTCCTCTTTCAATTTTCTGCATTTCCCAAACATCTATGCTGAGAAGACGTTGCTCTATCATTTTAAAAATGAATGGAGTTGGCGTCTAACACTGTGTGAGGAACACAGAATCTGTGATCCCGGAGAACCAGGCTACCACGGCAGCAGTGTGGCCAAGCCAGTCTGTTCCCATCAGCATTGGGCAATAATGCTTCAAGTTCCATAGCTGGCTTTCATGGCCACCTGTGCAGAGTGAGGCACTCTTCTACCAGCTCCTGGACCTGGCTAGTTGCCTCAACTCTGTTGGGAAAGCCAAGGACTCAGAGGGACAAGGGATGATTACTGGGAGCCAGGCCAGAAGGGGCCAGCAGGAGACACTTTCACAACTGTCATCTCAGTTGATTGAGAAGGGAATAACGCAGCGTCATCCTGGTCATTTGAAACTTTATCAGCAGCATGTTGATGGTTTCAAATGGAGCTTATCAGAGCAGCATGGTTTCCAAAAATATGGGCTTTGAAATATGGAATACTGGGTTGGATGGGGCCCCGATCCTGCCACCTGCCATCTGTGGTACCCTGTATGATGTGTTGCTATTTCTCTAAGTTTTAATTTCTCCATGCTGCTTGTGTAGGGGATGGGGTGGAGGGGGGATCACACACAAAACACACACACACACACACACACACACACACACACACACAGAGAGAGAGAGAGAGAGAGAATATAAACCTGTACCATAGGCTGGCCTCAGAATCTTCACCTTCCTGCCTCAGGTTCCTGGTACTTGGATTGCAGGCATGTGCTGCCATGCCCAGTTCTAAGTTTCTCTCTGGTTTGTGGCATATGTATGGATATGTATTTGTGTGCACATCTGTGCATGTGTATGTGCACACGTATGTGCAGGCCAGAGATTGATACTGGGTCTCTTCTTCAAATGCTGTACCTTATCTGTTTAATAAATTATTTTGTGTGTAAACGTTTTGCTTACATGTATGTATGTGCTCCACATGGGTGTCTGGTGAGGGAGGAGTCAGAAGATGCCCCCAAACTGAAGTTTGGACGGTTTTGAATCACCATGTGGATGCTAGGAATAGAACCCAGGTCCTCTGCAAGAGACATTAGTGCTCTTAACTGCTGAGTC